AACAAACTTTTTGTTTGTATAAAACAAACGAAACGTTTGTTTAAAAAATATAAAACAAACGAACGTTAACCGAACATTTAACCGAACATAAAGCATTTACTTTGTTAAGGGAGTTATTATTATTTTACGGTATTTTAATAATGATAATTTACTACTTTAAATAATATTTTAAAAAATATTATTAAAATTTGTTCGTCTGGGTCAAGGAGATTTAATAAACAGGGACGCCGTACAGTGCCTCAGAAACCTTAAAAAGTGGCCAAAATTGGATTTAAAAAAAATGAATTTTTTAGATTGAAAATTTTAAAATCTATTTTTTAAAACATGAGGGTTATTGATTCCATAAAAATATTTATTTTAAAATTATTCATTTTGCTCTTATATAACGTTTTTTTCGGCAATAAACACATTTTTTAAATTATAAGCGAGTTTTGTGGACAATTTGACATGCTTTTAAAATAACCTTTTACACCAGTCAAAAGTCTTAAAATAAAAGTGGTATTACTTATAATATTATTTTATCTCTTAAAATATGGAAAATATTTTTAAAACAAAAAAATTCTAAAAAATTTAGTTTTAAAACTAGAAAACAATTTTTTTAGTGGACTAAAAAAAAAATTTACTCATATTTACAAAAAGTTACCTACAAAAAATGTTGCATTTAGTTCCACCCTAATTTTTATTATAATTGTATCAACACCTCACTAATAGTATAGAAAATTAACATCCAAAACTTTAACTGCACTTTTTTTCACTTTATTGAGTAATGTTTAAAATGTGTCATTTATCTAAAGGTAAATATGGCTAAATTTGTATTTATTTTAAATCAATATCAAGTATGTTCTAATTAAAGACATCTAGATTTTGTAATTGCGTTCGTCATGGAGTTTTTTTTTGGAATTAACTAGTTCATTAAAACTATTTGTTTTTATTTTATTACATTTCTTATCATATTAAATAAAAATCTTGAGCAAGAAATGTAAGAAACAGTAAAAAAGAAATAAACAGAAGTAAATTCAACAAATTCGTTCGCTATCTATAACTTTTTATGTGGAGGACATAGCTTCTGTTATGTATGTGATCCGATGGCGATTAATAATAATTATAATTAATTTATAATACTGTATTTGAAGATCTATATTAATCGTTTACGTAAAGTGATTTTTGTATTGTGGCTTGTAGTCAAAATGAAGACTACGTTGTAATGTTGCGGAAAAGTGAAAGTGAAAGTAACCGAGTCATAATAATAACTTAGATAGATATTTGTACCAAGATCTGTTACAATGAACATTTTACAATGTTTGACGGAAAGATTATTTATGACTTAACTAACAATGCCTCTACTTAATCCAGATTGAGGACAGTCCTAAAGGTAAATTGGTCGGATTTCAAACTAGACAGTGTGAAATTCAAATTGTTCTGGAATAAAACTGCAAAATCTGATAGTGGATAACTGTTCCTGGTATATAATCACTTCAACTGTATACAAGCTCCTTGAACATGGGACTCAAATTTTAGAAACATTTGAATTGTCTATTGGATTTTTTTAATAAGATTTTTAAGAAGCCTTTTACAAAGAAATCCACAAAGCTAGATTAGATCACAACGCAAAAATTTCTTGAGTTAATCTTATTAAAAACCAGTTCAACTACCTTCTAATTAGGTCGGCCTTATTACTTCTACGAACTTTAAAAAGTACAACTCGGAAAATGGTGAATATCTAAAGGCTGATGTTCTTGCACTGCTTGTTTCAAACTAACTGATAAATGCATTTATTTTTTTCAATTTGGTATTTTTGAACCTCTAATCCGTTGAATTTATATTTGGTTACTTGGATAACTAAGATTTACTTTAATTTAACTAATGTTATAAAAATGTCAAGTAAATATTATTTTAAATTATAATTGTTCCTCCTTGTTAGTCGTATTTTAATCTCTTTTTTTTTTAAAAAAAAAGTGTATGATCAAGAGCAAGACATTTTTTAATTTTTTTTTTTTTTTTTTTTTTTGCAGATTCGGAATCCTGATTAAATTCTCCGCAAAATCCAAGTCTTTTTATTTTAAAAACAGGTAAAACTGTTAAACACCAACAGTCGAATTCTCTGTCTAAAGTAAAAAAAAAATGCCAAAAAACCGTTCACAAAAATGCAGTTTATGTGGTCATTTTTATGAATTTTTTAACCAAATATGAAATTCAATAAAAATTTGACTTAATAATTAGTGATTAAAAAAAAAAAAAATTACAAAAAGAAATATTTTTTTTAGTTATAATTTTTCCTCTATAAATTGTCATATGTTTGTCATTTTCCCGTTATTAACAGGCGGCCCACCCCAGTAAGACATCTTTTGTTTTCTTTTTTCGCAGAGTTGTAATTCCCTATCGTCCTTTACCAAAATTAACCTCCCTTGACTTTAAAATTTGCAAAAAAAAAAAAAAATTGATACATCCTACTCGTATATGCTTCATCCAGAAATTTAATAATAATCATTGTTAACGATAGACACGACGAGAACGTAAGCCCTCTATTAAAAAGTTGTAAGTTACACCACGTGCAGTTTAGTCATTTTATGCCAAATCAGCATGACATGTCACTTTTTGTTTTATAAAAGTAAAACATAAGACATTAAATGAACCTTTTTGTAGAACTAAGTTCAATCAATTTTGTATTGCATATCGTGCAAACCCGTCTTTAAAATAAAATAATATGAAAATTTACAGAATCGTGCACCCCATCAATAAAAATAATATGAAAATTTACAGAAAAAAAGTAGAAAGTGACATGTCATGCTGATTTGATTTATATGAAGGTTCTAGATGTTTATAAACTGAACACATTTAATGCATTAAATGTGTTCAGTTTATAAACATCTAGAACCTTCATATAATCAAACAAATAATTTGAATGTGAAAAGCGATCCGCATAATTAACTACGCGGATTGCATGTTTCTGATGGCGATAAAGACGTTGTAATTTACTTTTATCCGGCGATGATTGCATAATTTATATAATTATGTATAAATGAATAATAGAGTTGGGTTAAGTTTTTTTTGTTTAGATAATTTCGGGCTTAGTATAAAATGCCAATCTTTTTGGAAATTTTTGTGCTTATATGATCAATTTGTTTTCTCCAAGTAATATTCTCATCAAGGTAAACACCTAAGAATTTTATAACAGTACCTCTTTTTATTATCGTTTCATCAATATAAATTTGAGGCATATTAAACGTTTTTTTGCGCAGGAGTGAAAGATAATCCATTTTGTTTTGTTAATATTTAAAGTTAATTTATTAGCTTTAAACCAATTAGAAATGTGATTTAGTTCTTTGTTTGTAGTTGAAAAGAGTTCATAAATATCAGTATGGGATAAAAAAAGATTAGTATCATCAGCAAACATTATACTTTTCAATTTGGAAGCTTTGTTTAAGTCGTTTAAATTGATTAAAAATAGTAGTGGTCCGAGAATAGAACCTTGTGGAACACCACTGGTTATGCTCAGGGGTTCACTTTGCTGACCATCATTACTATAGACAAGTTGTTTTCGATTTGTTAAATAGCTTTCAAACCATTTTAAGATTCTATTGTTTAAACCATAATGTTTATTTTTTTGGATTAAAATGTGATGATCGACCGTATCAAAAGCTTTTGATAGGTCAATAAAAACACCTAGTGTATATTGGGATTTTTCAAAAGATTCAGAGATGTTATGTATAAATTGAATAATGGCATGTTCAGTTGAACTCCCTTTTCTGAAACCATACTGATTGTTATGAAGTAATTTGTTGTAATTAAAATAATTGTATACCCTATTGAAGATAATTATTTCTAAAATTTTAGAAAATATAGAAAGAAAAGAGATGGGACGATAATTACTGATATTGGATCTGTCGCCTTCTTATGGATAGGGGTAACCCTGGCAAGTTCAGGAAAAATACTTTGATAGATTGATACTCTGAAAATCTTAAAAAGAATATTTTTTAATTGTTCGTAGCAATCTATAACAATATTTCCGTTTATTTCATCTGAACCAGGTGCTTTATTTTTTTTAAAAGATTTGAAAGCTTTTTCAAACTCATCAAATGATAGTTCTTCAGAGCAAATATTTTTATCAATAGGTATCGAAAAATCATAAAATGGGGTTTGGGTTTTTGGTATTTTACTTGACAGAGTTGATCCAATTTCAATGAAATATTTATTGAATTTATGAGCTATTATTTGTGGTTCATACAAGCTACTGTTATCGACTTTAAGCATTTGTGGCAAAGAGCTTGAGCATGTTTTTTGTTTTTCATTAATTTCTTTAAATACTAGCCAAGTGCTTTTTGAGTCATTTTTAACTTTATTAATTAATTTTGAATAGTAAGTTTTTTTTTAATTTTTTCGGATTTTTTCGAAAAGATTTTTGTAATCTTTGTAAATTTTTTTGATTGCTGGTGTTTTTGTTTTCAGATACTTTATGTATAGTTTTTGTTTAGCTTTGGATGATTTTTTGAATCCTTTGGTAATCCAGGGATTATCAAAATGTTTTGTTTTTAATGTAATTGTAACAATCGGGAAATTAGATTCGTAAATTTTATTAATGGCCAAAACAATTTCAACTGCCATGCAATCATTTCCAAATAATTACCAAGATACAGATTCTAGATTCTAGAGAAATAGCAATTTAGTTCATTCAGATTACAGGCTTCACAAACTTTGGTTACGATAAAATGGTTTACTGCTACTCTGTCTAACATTGTGTTTGATATTTTTGAGATGATCAAACTATGACATTTGTCAAAAGAAAGTAAATGAAAATCTGAGTAAACTAAAGCCATATGATCAACTGCCACACATATATGTTTTTCATAAGCATCAGCCGTTCCTCCAAGCATTCGGTCTAGACCAATGAACTCACATTTATTCTTTGATGTTAGGTGAACCCTGGTAACATGAACACCTTCTTGTATGGTCGCATCAAAACGAAGAGTAAGATTATTATTACTGATAGCCCACTCTGCTGTTTAAAGGTCTGATATACTGCCAAGCTCACGAGCCATTTTCTCAACAGTACTACGCTGCGGAATTTGCAAACATTCAATACCGAAATATTGTACAATTTTCTCAAATAGATATGGAATGTTACCTGTCGGAACATTAGATAATAACATGCTATAAATTATCATCCAAATTTGTAATGTATAACTCTTACTGCCACCTGACATAAATGTACTATAGTTGGTGACTATCACCCTCCTCCACCAAATGGAAGAGTGTGATAGTCACCAACTATCACCTTTCTCCTTTTGGGTCATATTATTTTTTCATAAATTTTATTTTCTCTAATAGAAGTATTATGTTAGAGCATTACCTGCCTTAACTTTTCTTTCTCTTTAATTTTTCTATCCTTTATTGTAGTTATAAGATTGCGAATACGCCTACTGTAGTAATATGTTTGCAATTCATGTTTTAGGTCTCTAACTTCTGTTCTTAAAGCTTTTATAATTTCTTTTGCCACTTTGTCTAAAAACTTTTAATTTATATGGCATACTCTTTAATTTTGCTTTCACTATCTTATTTCAGTAATTTCTAGAAGAACTAGCTAACATTAAAAACAAGGCTAACTTCTAGTAATTTCTAGAAGAACTAGCTAACATTAAAGACATTGAAGATAAGTGAAGCAAGAAGATAAGTCTGACAACCTTTTTTTAGATATTTTTTTCTCTGTGGTAAGTTTTTCTTTTGAAGTAGGCTTACCTTTCAAGTTTGAAGTTTTGCTTCTAGAAGCTAAAGGTTCACTAATAATTGGAGATAATACGCCGATATGTTCTGATAATGTTGCAACTAGAGAACACAAGAGAATATAAATATTACTACTAGGGGGTAATCACTATATTATTTTTGGACTTTTTTGGTGACCATTATCAGTAATAAAAAATTATATATCTTCTATTGTTAATATATAATTTTTTTTATATAATATATATAATTCTTTTTAATTTAATAACCTCTGAAATTTTTTTTCAATGTTATATAAATAATTAAAGTACTTATTATATAAAAGGCTTACATACATATATTAAAGAATTATTAAACTTCGTACAAACCTCCTTTAACCCCGTGGAACAGAATTTTAGCACAAAAATCGGTTCCGTAAAACGCGGCATAACTATATATATATATATACATATATATATATATATATATATATATATATATATATATATATATATATATATATATATACATATATATATATATATATATATATATATATATATATATATATATATATATATATATATATATATATATATATATATATATATATATTTGATATATCGTACTTATGCCTGTAGTTATGAAATTTGCGCTTATTCAGTCGTCTCAATGAATCGATATTACACTATGCTGATATGTATTATTTTATATTACACAATTTTAATATTACACTATGATATTATGTTACACTATGTTAATATTACATATTATACACTATGTTAATATTACATATTATACACTATGTTAATATTACACTATGATATTACACTATGTTAATATGTATTATTTATAATAAAAAAAAAAATAGAAAAAGATATTACATGTGGTGTGCCCCAAGGTTCAATCTTAGGGCCATTATTATTTTTATTGTATATAAATGATTTATACTTAGCATCAAATATTTTAAATGTTATATTGTTTGCAGATGACTCTGATCTTTTTTATTCCAACAAAGATATAAAAGTTCTTTTTAATATATTTAATGAAGAACTATTCAAAATAAACGATTGGTTTACAAGCAATAGGCTTTCGTTAAATGTAGAAAAAACTAAATTTATTTTATTTTTCAAACCTAGTAAAAGTGATGATGTTCCTCTAAAATTACCCAATCTCCTAATAAATAAAACAATTATTAAAAGGGAACCAATCGTTAATTTTCTAGGAGTAATAATAGATGAAAATTTGTCATGGAAACCACATATAAAATATATAGAAAATAAAATATCAAGAAATATTTATATAATATATAAAACTAAATCACCTTAACACACCTTAATCAAACTTAACACCTCTTCTCTAAAAAAAATATACTTTTCATTTATTCATAGTTTTATCTCTTACTGCAATATTGTATGGGGTAGTACTAACTATGAAAAGTTGAAAAAACTTCATAGTAAGCAAAAACATGCATGCAGGATTATATTTGTTTCCCACAGAATTTTTCAATGTGAACCTCTTTTAAGGAAGCTCGGTGCCCTAAGTGTCTATAAACTTAATATACACCAAGTTCTACAATTCATGTTTAAAACTAAACATGAACTCTCTCCTATTGTATTTCAGTCTTACTTTAGTGAAATCTCGCACAAGTATCCAACTAAATTTTCAATTAATAACTTTATTGTTCCAAAAACTAAAACAAAAATTCTTACAAAATCCAATACCGCGGACCGTTTCTATGGAAACATTATTCAAAATTTATCACAAAAAATAATAATGTTCAACACATCTCTTTGGAAAAATTCAGAGAAGAATCTAAGAATCTCTTATTACAAAAAGACTTTGATTTAAAATATCTCTTTTAAAAATAATACAAAAATAATATAAGTTATCTAAAAAAATAGTTATTGATACTTCTCTTTTGTTGCAATTTTAATCTAATTTAATTTTTTGTTGAAAAACTTTAATACTTATAAATTATTGTTAATCTTTGATATAATGCGTTATATTTCAACATTAATATTTATATTATGTTATTAGTTATATTGTAACTAACGTATTTAAAATGCTTGTTATGTACTTAGCTACTCTTCATTTTTTATATTAACTGACGATTTTTTAATGTAAATTTTATGATGGGGCTTGATGATAAGACAATTTATGTCTTCTGCTTGCTCCAGTTCTCTCATTTATTAACACGATTTATTTCATTGTAAATTTTAATATATGACAAAACTCTTTGCTTAAAAAAAAAAGAAAATATTACCACAGAGGTAGCCAGTATATTATTTCATTTCTAAAAAGTCTATCGCAAAAATCGTTTACGGCATAACTATATATATATATATATATATATATATATATATATATATATATATATATATATATATATATATATATATATATATATATATATGTATATATATATATATATATGTATATATATATATATATATATATATATATATATATATATATTTGATATATTGCGCTTATGCCTGTATATATGAAATTCGCGCTTATTCAGTCGTCCCAATAAATCGATATTACACTATGTTACCACAGAGGTAGCCAATATATTATTTCACTTCTAAAAAGTCTATTTATTGTAAAAAATTTATAATAAATAAAAAACTGGCTACCTTTGTAGTAACATGGCCTAATCAACCAATCTTTAGGGACACACAAAAGCAATGATCCGAACTTTTTTTTTTTTCTGATCTTGGTTTTTAATTCACGAAATGTATCATTTAATTGATAATATGCAAAAAAATTCGGAAATTGTATCTAATATAATGATTTAATAAAAACCCGGGTTTCTTTACCCCTGAAAATCCCGCACTTGAAAGACAAATTTAAAAAAAATTTAAAATAAATATATTTTTTTTAACTAATGCAACTTGTTTCAGTTGAAAAATATTAAAATTATTGAAAATTATGTTTGAAATTTATTGATTTGAAAATTTTTGTTTGAAAATTATTATTAAAAGTTTGTTAAAAATTATTATTAAAAGTATAAATTAAAAGTTTGAAAATTATTGAAAAGTTGAAAAATATTAAATTTATTTATTTTTTTCAGAAAAGTAACTAAAATCCTATTTCTGCTTCGCGACGCATAGTGCGTCGCAATAAGTATAAACATATAAATTTTTGGAGTTTGTTACATATCCGGAACTTCAAAATCTCAAACATCAAAAAACGATCCGCGCCTACTCAATGTATTCAAATACAAGTGCATAACAATGTTATTCATACACAAATTATAAGTATAAAAAATAAATGGCTACCTGTCGCAAAATTTTCTGTTAGTATTTGAAAACTACTAAGTGTCGAAACACGGTAGATGTGGAAACGACCCTCCATATTTTCGTTGAAAAGCGTGAGCGAATAAAATATTTTTTATAGATTAGCTCAAATAAGCATATATAAGCTTGTATCATTTTTTTATTTCATGAATAAGGCAGTATATATAAACTCCTATAAAACAAAAAGTCCTTTCGTTCGTGACAAATCTGTAGCAAGGTCAACACCCTTTGATTGACATTGAGGATACATAAAAACATCCTCTATTATATTTTTTTAAACTAAACTATCTAACATAATGTAATATTGACGAAAATTTGACTCATTATGAGATAAAGTTAGCTTTGTTCTTATTGTTTCTTGGTTTAGTAAAGTAAGCTTCTTTGATAAAGCTAAAATACTTAACGTGGTTGTTAAGTTTTACCATTGGTCTTATAGATAATACAAACTTAACAACTACATAAAGTGTTTTAACTTTATCAAAGAAGCTTACTTTACTAAACCAAGAAACAATTCAGAGAGAGTGTTGGATCCAGGAACTTTAAAATCAGAACTAAAACTTTTGTCACGAAAACGTCGTTTTTTGAAAATTTTTGACCCACCAGTTTTACGTCATTTTACAGCATCAGTTTTTTTATTTTCTGTACTAATTATTATTTTCTAAAATTAAAAAACGATCATTTAACAGGGCCGACAACACGTGTTTCAAAGTGGAGGGGCATAATCGTCAATTTCTTAAAAAAGCCCTCCATATCTAGAAATTTTTTAAAAATAAAAAATCAAATAAGATTCCTAAGAAAAAAAGTGTGTGTGTGTAGGGGGGACGTACCCCAAACTTCCCCCTCCCCCTCCTACTCCTTCCGTGTTGTCGGCCCTGTCTAAGTGACTAATATAATAAACAAGTTAGAAATCATTTAATTCAAATTTGATAAGTTACACATCTGCCAGTAGCAAGATTATACCTTTACTAAATCTCGTGAATATGTTTATACTTTTGTTTATACTTTGAAACTGCATTTGAATTATTGTTAGATTAGATTAGATTAGATTAGATTAAAATTTATTAGAACAGTGATACATGTTCTAAAGGACACGCAGGTCCATAAAATATGAAGGACTCTGACAACGTGCCCTACAATCACATAATACAAATGCTAGTTAATTTAAAATATATATTACAATTATATATAAGACCATAGTTATAAAACAAAAACCAGTTAGCCGGAACAGTATTTTTCAAAGTCGATAGAGTTAATTTTAATTTTGAAGCTCTTTATATTTTTGGCATTCACGACGTCAGACGGCAAGTTATTCCAAATATTAACAACCCTGAGTGAGAAAGAGTGTTTACGGACATCGAGTTTACATTTTAGTTTGCGTAATTTAAAATTATGTCCTCAAGTGTAAATATAGTTGTTAAATAAAAAGAAACTTGATTTATTTAGGCAAACTAAGTTGTTCAGAATTTTGTAACATGTAATCATGTCTTGCTTAAGGCGACGAATTTCTAGTAGTTCCAAACCAAGAATACTAAGTCTACTTGAATATGAAACATTATTTAGGTTAGAAATTCTCTTGGTAAAACGTCTTTGTACTCTTTCCACTGTATTGTTCATTTTAGTGCGATTTGGCGACCAAACCGGAGAGCAATATTCTAAGATCGGTCTTATATAAGTAGTGTAGGCTTTAACGATAACACGTGGATCACGACTTTTAAAACATTTAAGGATTAGATATCCTCGAATGTTTGATGCACGGACGATATTTGAAATATGATTACTGTAATTCAAATAAGAATCCATGGTCACACCAAGATCTTTTGGGTTTGTAGACCAAGTTAAATTATGATCGCCTAATTGATAGTTGTAATTTATATCTTTACAAAATGAAGTAGGTGCTATTCTATGAGTAAAGCACTTATTATTGGCTATTTTTAATTGCCATTTTTTTGACCATAGATAAACTTTATAAATGGCTACAGCAAGATCGTGACTGTAATCGGCATCCTTAAATGAACTATATAACTTGATATCGTCAGCATATAACATTAGAGAGCAATTAAGATCTTTTACTATAGAGGGTAGATCATTAATAAATAATAAGAATAACGTTGGACCCAAGACGCTACCCTGTGGAACTCCACTTAGGATGCAGGTTGGATTAGATAGTGAATTTCCAACCAGAACTCTTTGATATCTGTTAGAAAGAAATGCTGATATCCAATGAAGCAGATTATCTATTATGCCGTACATTGCAAGTTTCTTCAGAAGTTTTGGATGAGGTACAGAGTCAAATGCTTTTTGAAAGTCAATGTATACCACGTCAGTAATTAAATTGCTGTCTAAAGCTTTATTCCAGTCATTAGTTGACTCTAGAAGATTTGTGCACGTAGATCTTTTGGATAAAAAGCCGTGTTGATTAGGTGTTATTAGATTATTTATATTAAGATAATCAGCGATACTTGAACTAACAATACTTTCCATGACACAACAGCTAGTACATGTGAGAGAGATAGGTCTATAATTGTTAGCATCTGAAGTAGATCCTTTTTTAAAAATAGGGGAAACCGTAGCTTGAAGCCACTGTTTTGGTAACGAGCTTGACGTAAAACTTGATTCAAATATATATGAAAGCGGAATACATATTATATGTGCTAACTGTTTTAAAAGTATATTTGGTATACCGTCTGGTCCAAATGATGTGCTAGGTTTTAGATTTTTAAGTTTTTGATAAACTATCTTTGCTGAAAAATCTACGAAATTCATCTTAATATGTTCACTAACAAAGGTATTTATTTTAGGCAAAATTCCGTCATCTATGGTAAAAACACTTCCAAAGTGTTTGTTAAACACTTCCGCGATCTCAACATTGGTAGTAGTAAAGTTGCTATTTGTTTTTAGAGGATATATTTTTTTGGGGTTGTTTAGATTTTTATTTACATAACTAAAAAACTTACTTAAGTTATTTTCTTTGACCAGTTTTAGTTCCACATTTTTGTGGTGTGTGGATATGGCTTTTTTACATTTTGATGCATATTGGATAAATGCCTTTTTGTGCAAGGTGGTCTTTGTGATTGACCATCTTTTCCATAGAAAAGATTTGCGAATTAGCATTTTACAAATATATTTTGGATAAGAACGACTTTTTTTGTTATGGTATATTGTTCTGATTGGAACAAAACGATCAATACCTTTACGAAGATGATTAGAAAAGATGTTCCAATACTCTTCAGTTGTAAAAACAAAAGAAAAATCGAGGTCCCAACTTATTTTTGATAAATAAGAATTAAAAGCAATTATATCTGTATTTTTGAAGTCGTAAAAAGATTCAGAGTTTGTTTCGGGCTGATAATAATTAAAGGTGTTTATATAAAAAAAGACTGAGTTATGGTCGCTTGTACTAAATGGACACTCAACGGAAATATTACTTAATAGGGAAATGATATTTGAGAGAACAAGATCAAGAATATTATTTTCTCGAGTGGGCTCCAGTACATATTGGTACATACCAAGATTATTTACCAAAGTTAAAAAAAGATTATGACATTTCTCAATTGGCGAAACATAGTTAACCCAATCAATTTTCGGTAAGTTGAAATCTCCGACAATGACAAATTGAGGAACAGATTCACAGAGATTGCTAATTATCGAGATCATTGATTCAAGATAGATATAATCATCAAGAGAATAGGACGGTGGACGGTAACAAGTAATTAAGCGGAGTTTACTAGACCCAAAAATTAAATCAACACAAATGATGTCAATATCTTTGTCAGTTTGAGTAATACTTACTATGGCGGATTTAACGTCATTTCTGCAGTATATAGCTACACCACCGCCAATTCGTACCCGGTCTTTACGATAAATGGAATAATTTTTTGGACAGACCATGGAATTCGGGAGTTTATCATTGAAAAACGTTTCGCAAACACAAATTAAGGCAGGTTTGTTTGACTCAACGTATAAAAAAAAATCGTTAAGTTTGTTGGCAAGACTTCTTGCGTTAAAAAGATAAACTGTAAAATTGTTGAACGAATTTGTGGTTAAGTGATTGTATGAGTTTATAAAGTTGCTACGTTTTGAACAGAAAACCTTTTTAATGTTTTTGTTGTTTACAGCAGTAATACGTTGTTTACTAATGCTTGAGGCATGATTTTTTTGTAATGACTTTGGAATAACTAAAGAAGTTAATCAGCCGTGACTGAAATATTTTTGGTTTTTGCAATTATAAAATGATTGCTATTTGCTAATTTTTATGACTTTTTCATTTCGTATGCCATAATAAAAAAGTGAGGGTTCTGAATTTTCTAAATTTTTTTGTTTGCACTCTTCGCGTAATAACTTAGCTTTGTATCGCTCTGCTACAGTTAAATCGGGATTGATAAACACTTTATTAAACTCGGTTGAATTTTTTAAACTTTTTGCAGCTTTTAGAAAGGAATTTCTATCATTTCGGTTGTTAAGAACAATAACAAAAGGTGATTCTTTGTCGGATTTTGATTTTAATTTTATTATTTGTTTAATTTCGATCTTTGCATTAATAAAGTTCATCATGTGGAGAATAGAATTTTTTTCTTCTTCTCTAGCACTTAATAAATCTGCTTTTTTTGAGGCTTCGATACCAAACACTACAACGTTACTTTCCCGTTTTTCTCTTTCTTTTGCCTCGGCAACAACAGCGTTCATTAAATGAAGTTGTTCGGTTGACCTTTTCGGTGGCATATTTCCACTAACAACACTAGCCCAAGATATAGACGTGGAGGGTACAACTTTAGCTTTCTCTAGAACATTTAGTCTCTCGGTTAAAAGTAAATTACAATTTTTTAACTCGTCGATTGTTTTGATTAGTGATTTTATTAATTTATCTTGATCTGCTTTATATACATTAAACTCAGTTGATTGAACATTTACCATGTTTGCAATTAATATTTTAATTAAATTTTATTTTACTCGAACTTGTAAACACAAACACAAATTGTAACTTGTAAACTTGTAAAAATCAGGGTTGGGTTGGGTCCCCACACCCAAAATTTAATTGATGATCAACAAAAGAAAGCGGAAAATGAAGAATTATCGCTTGTAAAAGAGTTGTTGGTTAATTATTATTTAGAACTGTTGGTTACATTCAAATGTGTACTAATGGTTCAAAAAATGAACTAAAACTTTTTTTCCATAAAAGATTAAAAAAAAATTTCTATATATATAAAATACATATAATATATTTCTACATATATAAAATACATATAATATATTTCTACATTTATAAAATACATATAATATATTTCTACATAAAGTATCCATAAAAGCATCATTAATCTAATGATGTTTATCGATGAAATTTTATTCGTTTTAAACATTTATATGGAATATAAATATCACCATTATTTTTTACCTATATAAAATAGAGTAAAACAGTATAAATTGAAATGTTCTTATTTTTAGGTAGACTACCACCTTAAACAAACTTATGATATAAGTAAAAAGAACAAATTTTAACAAGAAAGTTTATAGTGTGCTTTAGTACATATTGTGTGTTATATTAAAAAGAAGTTAAAGCCGTTTTAAATACAATGTCATTTTTTGAGTTTCAGTACTTCAATTTGCATAATTTTGTGTGCATGTTTACTAAGCGATATGAATACGGTTTCATAAAGATGCGCATTAATATGTAAAGGAAGTTCGTTCCATAATGCAGCTACTTTTTCTAGCGTGCTTATTAGCTCTAATTTTGATGGTAATATTTTATCTAATTTATGAATTTCCTTATCTTTATTCAATTTACATTTTATCTTCAAAACGACAAATATTTTGAACAATGACAGTGGAAAGTAGTAAGCCGCATCACCAAATCTGAAGTCCTTTATTTGATTTACTATATTTAGATCAAGAGAACAAAATATTAACGGTGTGATTTTAGCGTTTAAAAGTTCTTCGACTCCATTTTGAGCAGTAATATTAAAAAGAATTTTTAAACAATCTTTATAACGCTTTTTTAGAAACAGCTCAGCTGCAACAATAGGTTGTGAAATTTTATCTTTTGTTAACATATCTAATAATACTGATTGAATTTTTATACTGTTGCTATTCATAAGACCATCATTTTTTACTGTAATATTTTTTACTTTATCTGCATACCTTAAACATTTTATAGTTACCCAACAAATTTGAAAAAATACGATTTTCTCTTCTTCATTCATCATTTCAAATTTTTTTAACCCAATTTTTTCGTCCTGTTTTCTTAAAAGTTCATTTTCATTAAAGCTAACTGTCACTTTGTTCTTTATATAACTAAGAAGACATTGAAGAACAATTGAAGAAGAGATGTTAGATGCATTTAGTGACTTGATTATAAATTTCATTGCTTCCTTGTGAACTTTGTGACTATAATATACTCGCACACTGGCTTCATATACTTTAGCTTTTGTATCTTGAAGATCTTGCTCAAGTTGATGATGTTGCTTTAATGTTTTGGAATCTTTTGTTAGATTTTTCCAATAATCAACAAATTCAAATTTTTTAATATTAAACCATATTCCATCTGATAGCAATATTGTTTTGTATACATTTTCTATGATATTTTTGCATAACTCTGCAGCAGCCATTAAGTTAAAACTGTCTTTATTTTGAAATAAGTTTTGTTGTTGAATAAAGTAGTGTCTACAGTAACTACTTTGACAACAAACAGATAACCTCTCCAAGTATTGTTTTAACAAAACTACAATGTTACTTTCAATCCATAACTTTTCAGATGTTTCTTCAACAAAATAAAACATAATATTTTTTAAAACATAGCTTGAAATATTATGTTTATTAAAATAATCACTTCGTAAAGTTTTAATAAGGCGGTAGAATATCTTTTGCAATTTTTTCCAACTTTTTACAAGTGTCATTTCAGCTACTGAAAAAGAAAAACGCCATTTAAGAATATCACACTCATTATGGGGAGATATTTTTAAAGTAGAATGTGAAATATAAGGGATATTTCCTTTTGGAACTATGTCAACGCCATATAACTTTATAACTGCAATAATCTCCTTTGATGGAAAACCAAAACATCTTTTTCTAGAAAGCCATTCTTTTGCTTGCTTTGGCCACTCTTTACAGTGGAAACAAAAAACGATATCGATTTCACCAATCATTAGACGTTTTGGTAGGCAAGCAACGTTCCAAACAACAGTACTTGCGGGTCCTTTTTGTTGAAATTGCATCCATCCAGAAAAACGTTCTCGAACAAAAAGTTCATGCATGTATCTAAATTTATCTGATCTAATATAGTAACTATTTGCTTTTAAGATGTTACTTTCATCATTAATAGTATCTAACTTATATAAAACATCCTCAGAAAAATATTTAATCAGCATTGGTACTCGAAGAGACTTGGAAAACTCTCCTTTTTGTGCAATTTTATTATATTGTTTTATTATTTTATATTTCGAACAATTAATTTTGAGGTATATGTACCCAGGTGTTTCTGAATTAATTATTTTCAAATGGCTTATTTCACTTTCGTCTGTCTCACTAACGCAAAAATCTTTATAAATGTACATCATATCAATATCTGAAGACGTTTCAGAATAATGCATTGAAACAATAGCTTCTCTATGGCTTCCTGTGTATTTTACATTTACTATATCTCTTCCAAAGATTTTCCCTATAACCCATTCTTCAAACTCGATATAAGGATCCATATATTTTACACGTTCTTCCCACCAATTTTCAACTCTCGCAACAAGATCACATAAAAATATGCTTAAGTCTTTGTCCTGAGGTTGAATGAATCTAAACAAAATAAAACTGAAAAAGTCAATAATGGAAATGCTCATTAAATTATATTTAATCCTAGCCATGTTTAAAAATGGTGGTAGTTAAATTATTCTGACTAATTAAATTATTTTAACTAATGGTGCTAACTAAATATTTTAACTAATGGAGATGGTTGAGTTTTAGTTATATGTAGTGAGTTCTTTTTTACTGTAGTATAGAATAGGTGTAAGTCGCAGGGTAAAGCATAAGTGGCGATGACATTTGTAAGACGGGATAAACTAGTTATTAGTGCTGATCCTCATCAAAACGCCAGTAATAAAAGACACGACTCTGAGGAGATGTTTATTACTTAATCACTACACAAATTAGATTTACACATCCGCATTAGTATTTTTTTTTTTTTCATTCTTACATTGTTGTATGCATACTTTTTATTTTGTAATCTATTTTTTGTTTTATAAATTTTTGTTTGGTGATATATTTGTTGTATATCTTCGCTCATATTAGTGATTATAAAGTGATTTATTTTTTATTATTATAAGTACTGTTTAGGTGTGTTGCCGGTCTTATTTATTTTTAAATATTCCTCTATAAATCTTTAATTTTGTTTTGACAACTGTCAAACTATGCTTTGAAAAATATTTCTCTTTTATTCTAATGTACTTCATTTCTTTCCTCAGAAGTTCACTGCTTGTGTGTGACTATTCGGCAAATTTATAAACCAAAATTTTTAAATGATGTTTTGTATAAATTTAAATCCATTAGCAACCAGAAACGGTTACCGCAAATTTACTACTTTTAATTTTAAAATTGTTAGCACTAATTTGCATATATTAAAAAAAAATCAAATAAAAAGAATAAATAACATTTATTAACACACCCTGCCTATAAGTCCACATTATATCGCCCTCTTCACACAAGCGCACATAAAAACTCTTCATTCTTTTATTTTTAAAGAATGCAAAAAGTAATTTAAAGACTATTAATACAAAGTATGTCTAGTTTTTCTTGTTTTTAGGTTTTAGATAAATTTAATAATGCTATAACTTAATATGGGTTATATGGTGTATTTTGTATAATTTATGGTAGCATATATAGTAGCAATATATATAGTAGCAATATTATATATGGTAGCATATATAGTAGCAATAACTTTTTTAAAAGATACGCAAACTAAAACAAGTTCTGATATTGTTTTACTTTTGTAACATTACTAGTATTCTTCTGTAAATATAAAATTTGACTTTTGTAACATTACTTGTATTCTTCTGTAAATATAAAATTTGACTTTTTTTTTCTCATAAAAACATTTCTCATACAAACGCGAGACACAGGTCTGCAAACGCTACCTAGTTTTCCTTTTTTTAAGTAATTAATTTTATTTAAAAAGAAAGATTGTTGACGTCAACTAGCCACTCCCCCCTCCCTTTTGTCAATAATCGTCAAAAAATATCAGATCCCCCTTTTTTGAAGTATACAAGAAAATCTATGGAGAAAACAACTTTCATATAGGAAACGTTTGTAATAGACATTTGGCTTTATAAAACATTTTTAATTTTAGAAAATTTAAGAACATATTTGAATACATTTTGATGATTTTAAATGGTATGTATTATATTTGATAAACCTTCAATGAAACGCCTACTATTTCTCTATTGACGCCACTTGACATATGAACACTCCTACCCCTTCTGCGCCTCCCTTAATTTATATTAGATGTATGTTCACTCCATTGCAGGAACTGAATTTTAGAAAATAAAAACAATGAATAAGTAATAATATAGTTAATAAAACTATTACCATAAAATTTAAAAAACAAAAATAGTATTATAAATAAAAATAGTTCACAATACTTGTTGTTGAATAGGTAATATACATATAGTTAAGAACACTTCAAAATAAAATATAAAATTTCATAAACAAAAAATTTAATGTAGGAAAAATGAACTTGAACATTCGGCATTGCAAAAAATAATGATATCCACTATTTCACGCAATGCAAATTATATTTATATAGTTTTTCTTACTTACACTTTAATAAAACCCAAGAACTTAAACATACTTTGGTATTTAAACAGTTTGTAGAGTTACAAGATTATAAAACATACGTGGAAATCAAATTTGTTCGACCAGAAAGATAAGTAAATAAATTTAATTTGCTCTTAGCCAATGACTTAGCTAAATGACAAATTACGCAAGATTGAATTTTGGTTAACGGATCAAGTGATGCTTGCTTGAGCAGCATACTTTTAGTAGAGGTAGTGCTTATAGTAGTCTTTAAAAAGAATGAATAGGAATAAATAGAGATAAATACAGTGGAGTGATTATACATCCCAGCAAACATTCTAAAACGGAATTTCAGTGGAACTTATAGGCATTTTGAGCGGTCCAATGTAGTTTTGCTCATCGGTTACTTAATGGACCATTAGTGGTGGCCGCTAAAAGTGGCTAGCTGATGACTAGCCACTAATAATATGTCGGAAAGTTATTGGCTGGCCATTTATTCTGCAAAATTATGGAAATTCTTTGAACTCGTGGAACTCTTTAAGTAATTTTAAGTTACTTAGAGCATGCTTGACTTTTATAGAAATAATGTCAAAAACGATTGAAAAGTTATATGCTCGTATATAACTAAATAAAAATTTTGAAACATTGGTTTTACATTTGATTTGATTTGTTTTTGCTTTTAACATCTTTTATATACAATATATTATACTTGATAACGAGGGTATCTATACTCTCTTGAATATTTTATAAAATCATTTGGGGGCTTACCATTAATAACGTTAACAAAATAGGAGACGGTTGGTCTGAAAATTTTGACAATTGTTAAAAAGAGGGAAGGGGGGAGGTCAAGCAAATTGATGTCAACAGTTTTACTTTTTTAAATAAACTTAATTCCTTATAAAAAGGAAAATTAGCTGTCTTAAACACTCGAACTCTTATTATCTTACCTTTCTGCTCGCAAACAGAGGGTAAGACTAGGATCGTCATTTTCTGAATATTTAGATATGGAATCTGGTGTACCTCAAAGCTCAATTTTGGGACCAATTTTTTAAATAATTTTATCAACGATTTTTTCTTATTTATAAAAAACTTTGAAATCTGCAACTATGCTGATGACAACACTCTTTCTGTTTGTGACAAAAACCTATAGAGCGTTATTGCTCGTCTTCAAATAGAAACATCAAACGCGATTTCATGGTTTACTTTGAATAAAATGGTTGCAAATCCGGACAAACTTCAATTTTTTTTAGCTTGCTTAAAAAATTGTAAAGATCAATTTTTAATGGTTTTAATGGTTGGAAATGTAAAAATTATGGTTTCCTCTAATATTAAACTTTTCGGGGTTACAATTAATAAAGATTTGAAATTTGATGATCATATTAAAAGTCTGTGTGGAAAAGCGAATAGTAAATGCTTCGCTCTTGCACGAAAAAAGGAGCTTTTTATCAGTAAAACAAGCTACTGTTTTATTCAATGCTTTTATACTGTCAAATTTTTCCTATTGTCCTTTGATTTGGATGTTTTGTTCGAAGTATAATAAAAACCTAATTAATAAAGTTCATCAAAAAGGACTTCGCATTGTCTATAAAAGATTTGATCTCCCATTAAAAGAAGTTCAAAAAATAGAAAATATTCTAAGTATCCACCTTATAAATTTAAGGTTTTTGTTTAAATCTATAAATGGTTTAAATCCAGATTTTATGTTAGATCTTTTTATCAAAAAATCTGTGCCGTTATGTTTTCGATGTAGTAAAAAATTAGTACTCCCACACAAAGTCTCTAAACATAAGTTCATAAAATTAGTACTCCCACACAAAGTAAACATAAGTTCATAAAAAGTATCTTAAAAGATTAAAAAGAGCAACCTATTATAGTTATATATTATAAATATATATTATAAATATTACACACACAAAGGTGTGTGAATAGTATTATATTATAAACCTATTACAGATAAAAGAGCAACCTCGCTATGGAACTCTCTAGACAGTGAAACTCAATAAATTGTCTAAAGATGTTCAAAAAAAGTATTTTAAAATGGAACGTAAAATCTTGTATTTGTAAAATCTGTCAAAAATAACTTTTTTATTTTTTATTTTTTACGTCGAAAATAACCAACTTGTTGTATTTATTGACATTTATATTATTTACTATATAAGCTATTTTTATTTTATTTTTTTATTCACGATATCTATGTTTGTTTGTATTGTCTTATACAGTTTAGTGTGTTGATTTTAATTAGTTTTTGTTGATTATAAAATTATTGTAAACAATCAACTGAAAATAAAGTTTTAAATAAATAAATAAAATACTTGCTCAACCTTCAGTATTTTAATAAAGCTATTTATATAGCTACTTTTTAAAAACCGTGTTAAGCTTTAAAAAGACCCGACACATACAGAACTAAATAAGTTAACACGAAATGTTTACTTGTAACACTATTATTTTTAAAAAATTATTGTTGGTTAGTCTGCTGTGCTAACAAAAAAAAATTATGCTAGTACATAGTCTACTATATTATTTAAATGTTTATACCAAGGGTCATCAAACTGCGGCTTACAAGCCTCGTATAGTTCTTTTAATGTTAATATGCTTCTCTTTAGCTCCAAGCACAAATATTACTATAATATTGAAATAAAGATATTGGTAGCTCTTTAAAAACTGTAAATTGTAACTTTTGGCTCTTTCGTCTCAAAAGGTTGGCAACCCCTGATTTACGCATTTTGTTAAATGCATTTTTATTTTGTTAAATGCATTTTTATTTTGTTAAATGCATTTTTATTTTGTTAAATGCATTTTAAAATTTAAAATTTGTTAACTTTTTTATCTTGTTTCCGTTGAAGTTAAAGCAAGTCTTCGTAAATATAAAAATTGAGTCATTGAAGTGTTGTATTTTAAAACATGTTTATAATTAAAACGTGTAAGGTGTATACATTTTTGTGAACCCTTTAATTGGTTTTTTGTTCAGAGTAAGCCATTGTTAAGAACCGGCGAATATTCGTTAAAATTCGGATTACGAAGTTTACTGAAAGGCAAAGTTAACTTGGGCCTCGACTTTGGTGCCAAAGTTGAAATAGAAATTCAGCTTTCAGTTAAGTTTGGCAACATTTTCAAAATTTCATTTAACTTTCAGTTAAATTTGAAAGCTAAAAAGTTTTTTTCAATTTATAAAGAAGAAGAATTTAAAAAATATATTATATGTTTTATGTATATCAACCTGTTTCTATTGGTAACAACCCTATTTCAACTCTTTAACTCTGAAAAGTGTTTCGGAATTAAAGAGTTTAGAGAGGGTTGTAACCAATATAAAAAGTAGCTTCCTCGACTAGAGTGGCCCACTCGGTTTTGGAAACATGAGTTTGTTAAAAAAAAAAACAAACAAAAAAAAACATGTTGGAAATAAATTTGTCTTATAGAGTCAATATTCGAAAAGACTTTTTTAGGCACAAAGTCTTTTTTAGGCACAAAGTCACAAAGTCTATTTATCACTTAATAAATCTTATTTAACGCTTTTCAAAAATCAAAGGTAAAACAACAGTTGAATATTTTTAAAGAGTAATATCAAATTGACAATCAAAATTTTTCAATAAACGTTGTAAATGTTTTTTTGTTCATATTTGTTCAAAAACATTAAGAGTTGTAAAGATCCTATCACTCGTTCTATGTCATGTTTTAAATTATGGTTAATTACAAGCTAAAAAATATAAAAAGGTTTTGAATGTGTACCAACTAAATGTTTTTAGTATTTTGTGATTTATGTTTAAATGTAGAGAAAATCTGTCACCAAATGTATTTAAAAATGTTTATAATTTGAAACCGAGAAACAAATATAATCTTCACACTAATAACAATCTTATTGCCCCCTTTTGCCAGCAAAAAAAAAGACCAGTTTTTTGTTTCTTATCGAGGACCAAAATCGGAACAAAATAGTTTTACCAAATTTTGATTTTTCTGTTAAAATGGCTTATGCTTCATTTAAACAGAAACTTAAAAAGGTTATCCTTTTAATAGAAAATGTTCTCAAATCTTCTCATCTCAACTATTTTTGTATATTTTTTGTAAGTTTTTTATAAAAAGATGTATTATTTCATTACGAACAGTTTATTTTTAATAAAAATTATATTGTTAAAGTGTAAATGTATTATATTTTTTAAGGGCTTCATGATAAGATCCTCATGATCTTCTAGAAGTCCTGCCGTTGTTGCTGCCAAATGTAAATGTAAATATATATTCTCTTATGGTTATTGTTATTATACATATATACATATTATTGTAACTATATTATATGGTTATTGTAACTATTTTTAAACGGCGAAATAAATTTAAAAAAAAAGGGTCTTTTTAAAGCAAAAAACAAAAAAAAAAACAAAAAATTTTTTTTTTACAAAACTTTAAAAAGTTCTTAAAAAATTTATTTTTTAACTAAATGTGTTTTTAAAATCCAAATTTGGCTTTCAGTCGGGCTACATATACAGCTTAAATTCTTCTTTCAGTTAAATTCGGTATACGCATATAATCTAAATTCGTCTTTCATTTAAATTCGAGTCTTAAAAAGTACTTCGCCGGTCCTTAGCCTTTGTAGTTATAAACTAGAAATATGTTCATGAGTTTATTTATTTTATTTATTTATTTAATTTTTCGTTTTTGTTACAATTAAATTCCGTAATATAATACCAGATACTCTTATTCTTTCAAAAATAAACCAGTTATAAATATGAAAAATCAAAGACAAAATAATAAAAGTTAGTTATACAAAAATAAATAAAAACGCGGGAAACTTGTAGAAGACCATTAAGTCTTATCATCAAGAACCGTTGTAATTATGTTTTTACAATATTAAATTCCTATAATAGTGTTAAAATCAACTAAGGTAAATTGTGTTAAAACCAAAATCTTTTCAATGTAAAAAAACAAAAACAAAAAAACAAAGCAGTTTAAAAGAAATCATTAATAAAATTTGTATACTTTAAAAAAAGAGTTAAAAGTTTATATATATATATATATATATATAGGGCCGGCGCGAGTAGGTGTCACGTGGGGGGGTGCCATTACAACTTTTGCCGACTAAAAAAAAAAAAAAAAAGGTCCTCGTTTTCCAAAATTTCCCGACTGTCATGACGACACCCCCCTATCGCGCCGGCCTTGTATATATATATACATATATATACAATATTCTTTAAATGCTTACATTCATTTGAAGTAGTATGTTCAAAAGTTAAAATTTGAATGAAATTTTTTTCTAAACATTTTACTTTAAACCTTTTATTTTGTATTAGTTGTAAACTAATTTATTTAAAACATTTTTTTGTTTTTTCCCATTTTAATTTGATTTTTAAATTAGGGGGGGGGGGGTTTCAAATGTTGACAAGGGGAGGCAGGGAGAAAAAAAGTGCCAAAAAATTATTGACGTAGTTAATGGACAGCCCCTAGAAATAAAGAGTTTAATCCTTATTTCTAGGGGCTGTCTATTATCTAATTTAGTTATTATTTTGAGGTATACATAGTTTTATGTTACCTATTTTTGTTGTTTAATAGTTATAATTATTAATTATTATATGCTATTTATTAAAAACAATAATTTTTTTAATAATGGTTATACGGCTACGGCTACGGCTATAAGATTGACTTTTTCTGCAGCTACGGCTATATGATTGGCATGTCCGCTACGCCCCAATGATATAGCCGTAAACTTAACTGTTACAGGGTTATTCATTTTTATATGCGCATCTATTAATTTTTATATGCGTATTTATTCAATCTTATATGCGTGTTTATTTATTCTTACATACGTAATTATTCATTCTTATATGCGCGTTTTTATGCGAGTTATCTACTCATAAAATCTCTAATATAACTTTATATTATTGTGAAATCTAATATTAACATTAATACGGTCTTCGGAAGGTATTGGAAAATCACGCCAAGTATTTAAAGTTATCATTATAATAGTTTTTGGTTCTGAATTTTATATAAAAAGGATAACATTTGTAAATAATATATTCGCAGTTAAATGATAATAAAACAACTATAACCAAACGAGTGAATTCATTAGTGTCACTGGGAACTGTTTAATAATTCCCTACAATATAAACAATAAATAGGCTTTTATGCTTTTATTTAGATATATTTAAAATATAAATTGGGTTGTTGCCGCTGCTATTTATATAAAAAAAGGTTGCCGAGCCAGTGCTGGACTTAAATTAAACACTGTAGTATCCATAATAATTTTAAATTTTTTGACTACCCGATCCGTATTTCGAGGCATTTCTCCCTGTTTGTAAGTATGCTTTAAAGAAAAAGGAGATTCTCCTATTGGATTAAGCTTTGGCGTGTTTGCTGGCAGATATTTTATAGCTATGCTATGAGAGGCTAGTTTTTGCCTAACAGAAAGACTCCAGTAGAACTTGCAATTGTTCATAAAAATCACGGGCGCTTCCACATCTCCATTCCTTTACGTTGGTTACAACATTGAAAGTAAAAAATGAATCTGCATTCCAACCTCTATTTTTTGTTTCATAAGCCAGCACTCCCATTGTTGAAACAGCACAAATTAAACACACATTCTTGCCACGATTTGCAAACGGCTGTAAAATTAATGGCGCACTTCTTAGCGAATAACTATATGTGCTGCGTTAGTTTGCGCATTAAATCCAGTTTCATCCAAATTTATAAGTTTTTCATTTAAAATTCCGTTAATTTCGCTTGCAAATGCATAGCGTGCATCAATAACTCGTGTTGAATTACGTTCTTCTGGCACATGCACAACACGCTTTCTTGACAAATCCAAGCGTTTGAGTTTTCTTGAAATAGAAGGCTGAAACATGTTAAAGCTGTAGGAAGATTTTCTTTTATTGCTTCTTTAATATTATTTTTTATTTGAGCGTTTATAGCTCTTTTACCTCGTTTTTTATTAAAAAAACGACTTGAATGCAGCTATGTCGTCGAATTGTATTCTGTTTAACTTAACGAGACTGTGTGCTTAGATAAATTAAGAGAAGTGGAAATGCTTGTTGTAGATTCATTCCTTTAAACTGAATGCTTAAGCATTTCAATGACTCTTTTGCAACATTTTTCCTTGTTTTACGATTGGCACTTTTTTCTTTTCCATCCATAGGGTAAATATTTTTTATTAATAATAATTATAAATAATTAAATTTAAATCTAGATAAATGAATAATTAGATAAATGATAATTTAATCAATCAAGAAATTTAATATTAAAATTAAACAAAAACCTAATATTAAATTAAATAAGCCATCATCGAATGTAAAAAGGGTTCGTCTTAAGTATTTTTAACCCTCGTTTACCTCGTTTAACAAGAAAAAAAGGTTTAAAAAAAAAACAAATTATTTTTTCAAAACAAATTGCTTAAATAAGCCTTTTTTAAACGTATATATGATTGAATAAATACATATAAGTAAATACACTAATAAGAATGAATAAATGCGCATATAAGAATGAATAAAAACACTTATAAGAATGAATAAATACGCATATAAGAATGAATAAATATGCATATAAGAATGAATAAACACGCGTTTAAAATTAATAACCCTGTAAACTAATTTGTTTTGATACGCAACATCTCAACCAATGAAACGGATTTTTAGTTGTTGTTGTTTTTTTTTTTTGTTTTTTTTTTTTATTACAGTAGCTCCTTAACTTATTTTAAATAAACTGAAATATGGTCTATTTTACTTACAGCTTTCCTTTAGTTATTAGCAGCTTCAAATAAAATGTTACTTTAGTGTAAACTCTTTCTACTTTATGATTGACTCTACGTCGTAAAAGCTTTATATTTTCGCGTGAGCCAAACATACGATAAGAAAAAACAATAAATGCAAATAAGTGAAACAGAATGAACCTCCATAACATTTTAACAGCAATAAACAGTATGTGGAAGAGTTTTAAAGACATTTCAGCTTCCAGCAACGCTTATACGATTAATTTTTAAAATTCTGAAAGATTGCTACAAATTCTTCTAATCAAAATATATTCGGTAAAATTTCTAAGGGAAACTCCCATAAAAAAGTTTTTGGATGTTATTTTAAGAAGGTTATCATCACCAGCAATTATTTTAATCAAGTTTGTACGTTAACTACAATTATTTAACAAGATTCTTTCTAGGGATGGCTCTTTTATTTACTTTTTTTTTTTCTTACACGAGTAAGTTAATTTTTATCAAAAAGTAGACGATATTTTGTCTGACCCATAAACTTTGGGAAGTCAGACAAGAAAACTTTGGTTTTTGCGCTAATGCATTTTATAGTCTAGCGGAACAAATATGTTCCTACGGCTTTACTCTGATGTTATAAAAAACAATTGAATATTTGTAGTGTTAAGTGGTTTTTTATTGTTTATTTTCTAGCCTTTTAAAAAGATTTAAACTTTTTTACAGTTGCGTTGTAATTAAAAAAAGATGTTTTAGAGTAGGAAATAAATTAAATTTCTTTTTATGCATAGATTTTCATTTAACTTTTTACAAAAGCAGTATAGTACCCTTATCATTAAAAATGTTTATTAAATATTTTTCGGCACAATAGAAGCAAGTTTTCTGTAGTAGATTATTCCCACCGCCTGAATTATTCCATCCCCCTATGAAAAACTCAAAACGAGATTGCGCTTTCGGGTTATAACTATTAGAAGTGTATCTAAAACGTCCGTATTACCTTGGTAAACATAAACAAGGAGAAAAAAACGTTTAGACGGCAAGAACTCTAGAAATAAAGTTTACATAAAAGTAATATATAAAAGACGATATAAGAAAGCGTCGTAGTGATGGAAAATAAAAAACTATAAACTAATTAGTTATTTATTTACATGAAAATGTTTTACAAATACTTTTATTATATAACAGTATATGTAAAAGTAAAATTCAGACAGTTATAAATTATATCTGTATGAATTAATACCTCCACTTTGTAAATCGCTTAATGTAAAATGGTCTGATCTTTATTAAAGAACAATGATTAAAACTCAACAACTATAAAATAATTAATAATTAGTTGATAGTTGTATATTTTCTGTTTAAACTAACTGATTAAATTAGTTCTATAATTATGTAAAAATAATTTACAAATATCTGAATTATACCTTCCCCCGAAGAAATTACTAAACTTGCCTCTGAATTATCTTCTTCCTCCTAGTTAATCATTTAATAAAAGATGGTGTGGTAATGGTATTGAATGATGTAATAAATAGTGAATATATAGTGAATTTTTAGTTATATATTTAATTGAAACTACTTTACAATTACATTTTTTGGTTTCTAAATTATTACCTTTGGTCGTCCATGAAGTAAGTACGCTTTTTTTTCGTCCCTCCCATCCCATGTACGCCATTTGCAGACCCCCTCTTTCCCTCCGAGCGTACGTACTTTATGGACAATCCCTTAAAAGTTAATTATTTTCGAAAATTACATAACATAATATTCGAAAATTACATTACATAATATAAAAGTTCCTCTAACTGTAATTTACATTTACCTATAAAATTAACTAATTAAAAAAGAAATTTGCAAAAGTAATATGCTACCATTTTTTTTATTTTAAAAGTAATAACAAATCATTAATAAAAATAAATTATATAAAATAAAATTTAAATTACATATGCTTACATTTTATATAATTTATAAAGTAAATTAAAAGTAATTTAAAGAAAATAAGAAAGTAAATTTACTTATATTCTACAATAACTTCGACAGGATCTTGTACAACAGTAATGCAAAAAAGTCTAGAATTCAGACAAAATTGAAACATGGCAGTGAGCAGAAGGCGCATATACCCATGGGAGACTCAGAAACGGTAGACTATTTGAAAAGCATAATTGGCATAATTGTTAGTTCTTTTTACAGGTTTTTTGCGTGAAAGTTTTTATTATTGAAAAAGGTTTCAACCAGTCCTGGATTATGGGACTACAACTCCATGTCCCGCAAATTTAGAAGTTAAAAATGTTTGGGAGGATGCTTTATTTTTGTAAGATTTTTTTGCTACTTTAATAAGAAAAAAGGCCCCGAGCTCAAAAGTATCCCCAGACCCTGCAAGTTTTAATCCGGCACTGCACAGTGGTCCAAAAATGCCACTTTTGAGGCAAAAATCATTTCTTCACCAATTTTGAAGATAATAAGCTAAAATTTTAAGTGAATTTTCATTATACTCTGGCCAACAATAATTGTTATTGTAATATTGCTTTATATACCTCTAAAGGACACGCCAATAACACAAAACCAAGGACAAATCGCAAAACGAATAATAAACATGTGACACGTATTTCATATTAATTTTCAACTTTCTATTGACTATAAACAGTCACCAGAATGTTTGATACATTGTTCGATTGAATAAGTATCATACCTGTGCAGAACACCAAGAACACATAGCTTAATAAAACTTCCATTTAACTTATTTTAACAGAATTATGAATACCTTTTAACTAAATATTTTCTAGAGGACAAACTTCACATTTATAACATCTTGGTGGATCACAAAAACATGCAGAGTATCACACCAAGGACAACACCAAGGACGACAAAAAGTAAGCTCAACAGCAATATATACAGAATTAAAATAATTTCCAAGATTTATGATACATTTATGAAAATTAGTGTATAGAATAAATGCTCTAAAATAATACACCAAAGACACATTACATAACATGCAACATGCCTTTTGGATTTGTACTTATATCTAGATGTTAAAATTTATTTCCATAATACTAACAAAATGTAGTATTATAACAGTTTAACTTCCTGGTCGATTAATAAACGAAATCATCAAGAACCCATATTTTGTAAATACCTAGACATGAATAATCTGTGCATATGGTAGCACAGCAAGAACATACAACAACTCAAAAAGAACGCGTAATATTGGTTTTACACCAAGATTATAAATAAAAATAATCATTCTTCAATATTTCTATATAAAAATTTTTTTCAATAAACTGAGCAATTTAAAAATATATATTTATAAAGGGTTTGAGTTTTTAAAAAACATCAATGAAACATGTTTAAACATGTGTACATACTACTAGAAAAAAGGTGCTATTTTAAAAATGCAGCTTTATAGATTTTTTAAAATAAAGTAAATATATTTAGGACACATACTATCAATAATTCAATTAGTTTGATATAAAGAATATAATATTATTTAGAAAGTTACAAAAGAAGGTCTAAACATTCTGCTGGAAGTTCAAGTTCCTTTTTTGATTCTGAACTTCGCCTCATAGAAGTGATAAAGGGAGTTTCGCCTTAGTGATAAAGGGAATTTTGCCTTAGAAGTGATAAAGGGAACTTCTTCTCAACTTCGCCTCATAGAAGTGATAAAGGGAACCAGGTGGGAATTTTAAAACATTCAAAACTCATCTTAGCGCATTCTTAAACAAATTTAATAATGCACAAAAGCATGTTTACATAGTTGGTGATATAAATATTAATTTGTTGATGCATACTTCTAATAATAGTGTTAAACATTTTGTTGATACTCTACTTGAGCACAATTTCATTCCAACAATTATCAAGCCAACCAGAGTAACTAAAAATTCTTCTACCTTAGTCGATAATATAATAACCAACAATTCCCATGTTTTCACCGGTATAATTAAGACAGACCTTTCAGATCATTTTCCCACCTTCTTAACTACTAAAAACATAGCACCAAACAATACCTCTCCCAAACCTCCTTTATACAAACGAGAGGTCGATGAAAACTCCTTACAAAAATTTAAAAGTTTACTAAAAAACAATGTTGATTGGGATCTTATATTGCAATCAAGCGATGCGAACAACGCCTACGAACTTTTTCTAGGTCAATTTTGTAAATATTATGAAAAAGCGTTTCCAGTTAAAACTGTTGTTATAAACAAAAAGTCACTTCTAACTCCTTGGATGTCTAAAGGTTTAATCAAATCCTCAAGAAAAAAACAAAAACTCTACGACAAATTCCTAAAAAATAAAACTTATAAAAATGAAATAACTTATTAAAATTATAAAAACTTGTTTGAAAAAACAAAACAATACTCAAAAAAGCTTTATTATTCAAATTTGTTAAAAAAAACCATGGCAATGCTAAGAAAACATGGAATTCGATTAAAGAGATAATCGGTAATAATAACTGTACAAAAAGCAATCTCCCGAAAAAGCTTTTAATTGATGGTAAATTAGTCAGTGATAAGATAATAATAGCTGAATATCTAAATAGCTTTTTTCTTAATGTGGGTCACAATTTAGCAGCAGAAATTCCGTCGAGTTCTGCAACATTTCATTCTTACTTGATTAAGAACCTTACCACAGAAAAGATTATGAAAGAAACACATCTAGATTCTAATGAACTGCGATCCGCTTTAAACAATCTAAAAAACAACAAAAGTGCGGGCTTTGATAATATCAGTAACTTTGTCGTAAAATCAGTATTTGATATCATTGAACTATCATTGCACCACATCTTCGATCTTTCGCTAAAATCAGGCATTGTCCCGGGTAAACTAAAAATTGCTCGAGTCACCCCTATTTTTAAATCTGGAGATGATTTTGATACTAATAATTATAGACCTATATCAGTTTTACCATGTTTTTCCAAATTACTAGAACGCGTCATGTATAATAGGCTTTACAATTATTTGACGGAAAACAATTTTTTACACGGTAAACAATTTGGATTTAAAAAAAACCACTCAACCCACCATGCTATAATTGAGCTAGTTAATCAAATATCTAATGCTTTTAGTAATGATTGCTTTACGCTAGGAGTTTTTATTGATCTTTCTAAAGCTTTTGATACCGTAAATCACGACATTCTTCTAAAAAAACTCGAAGTGTATGGAGTAAAAAATAATAACTTACTTTGGTTTAAAGATTATTTATCAAACCGAAAGCAATATATTCAGCATAAAACAACAAAAACAACAAATAGCGCCATAACTTGCGGGGTTCCCCAAGGCTCGATCTTGGGACCATTATTATTTTTACTCTATATAAATGATTTATATTCAACATCAAACTTATTAAATTTAATCTTGTTTGCGGATGACTCCAATTTGTTTTATTTGCATAGAGACATTAGGACACTTTTTAACATAGTTAACAAAGAATTACATAAAATAAATGAGTGGTTTAGGTGTAACAAACTCTCTTTGAATGTCAAAAAAACCAAGTTCATCCTATTTCATAAACCAAATAAAAACGAAAATATTCCTCTTAAACTACCTGATCTT